CTACTGTATATAATATTTAACATATCACTTTTCACACATTTTTATGCTTCATTTAGTATTACCTCAGGACTATGATGTAGGTACTATTAATTTCTGTTTTATCCATGGGGAAATAGGGACAGAGAAGTACCTCATAAGGAGGATCTATGAGTTAGAAGAGTCACTAGATAACTGAGTTCCAAAAAAAGTGGAACAGAACACAGGCAGTAATGAGGAGAGCTAGGGATTGCACCCAGGCAGCCTGACTAGAGAGATACACTTTTTGCCTCTATGTTTTTCTACCTTTTCAAATTACCAAACATATATTATGTGCCTGATGGTGGGGTGTTCAAAAACAAGCAAACCAGATATTGCCCTGTCCTCAAAAAGTTTACATTCTAGAAAGGGAAATTAAATAATAAACAAGCAAGTAAATCGACACCAGAGTCACAAAAGAAGTAAACAGATTGCTCTGAGGAAAAGGACTCTTTTAGGTGACATGCAAGCAGACCTAATGCTATGGCTTATATCCAAATGTCCCCCAGGGGCCTCGCATGCTCAGAGGTAGGGCCTTTGGCAGGTGAATGGATTATGGGGGCTTATAGCTGGCTTGTTGTGAAGGGGTGGGATCCAATTAGAGAGGCAGGCCACTGGGGACGTGGCCTGGAAGGGCTTTATCTCCCTCCTCACCTCCTCCCTTCATTCTCCCTGCTTCCAGTCTTCTGCCAGTCTTCCGTGCGTGCTGTCCTTCAACCATGCCCCTCTGCCATGCCTTCCTGCTTTGAAATCAGCCTACTATGGACTGAAATGTGAGCCAAAAAAATCTCTCTTTTCTTAAATTGTGGGTGTCGGGTATTTTGTCCCAGCAAGGAGGTGAAGTAACTAAGACACATAAAGTGTGGGAAAAGCAAGCCAGCCATGGAAAGTGGATTTTAAAAATCTAGTAAAACATCAGACATGCTTTAAATGGAGGGAAGTTTGACCGAGATTAAAAAGTGATATGCTTTATGTCCTATGCTTTATGAAATGACATCAACATTTACTTAAGGAACTGAAAGAATGAGCCCCTATGTGCACACACCCCTTTCCACCACCACCCCCCAAGCTGGGATGAGGGTCTGAGGGTCTGTCTGCCTGCTCCTAAGAATTTTTTTTTTTGGTACTGGGAATTGAACTCAGGACCTTGCACTTTCCAGGCAGGTGCCAGAACCACTGAGCTACATCCCCAGGCCTGCTCCTAAGAATTTAATGAGCCCTTAGGAGTCTGCAACGGGTCCTTGTACTTTTTCTAGCCGGGGGAGCATCCACAAACAAGCACCCAGCTCAGAGTTTGCTCCTGTTTTCTATTCATTTGGGGCCTAAGAAACACAATTCAGGGGTGGAAAGAGAGGCAGAGAGAGAAATAAGTTCAGGGTATTTGTTATACCCCACTATTATGCTACATTTGAAATGCAAGGGGCACCATTCTGAGAACAACACCATGCAAGCAACTCTCGTGGCTGGGAAAGTTTCTTGCTATCAGTTTCACCTGTACCTGTCTCTGGGACTTAATAGTGTCTTTGCATTTGTGTGTGTGTGTGTGTGTGCACATGCGTGCCTGTGTGCGCATGCACGTGTATGCATGTGCATGAGTATATTTCAACTTTTTAAATTTTCTGAAAAACCTGAAAGTGTGTTTACACCTCACACTTCTGAGACAACTTCCTAAGTGACTGCACTTTGTGTTAGGAGGCCCACCCTGGATTACTCTACGTAGAACAGCATTCACCTGTGGATACGAAGCTAGGTATGAGCAATGAGGGGAGATTTCTGGGGGAGACCATACTTACTCATATCTAAAAATTGGAGTTGGAGAGTAAAAGCCACCTCTGCAGATAGAGGATGAGTAGAGCCATATGATGGAAAATAGAAGGACATATCCTTGCTGAAAAGGCTAACTTACAGGTAGAATACAAAATCAGTAACTAGCATATTTATTTATGAGAACCCCTGTTTAAAATTTCTCTTTTCTGCCAGGTGTGGTGGTGCACGCCTATAATCCTAGCGTTCAGGAGACTGAGGCAGTAGGATTGCCACAAGTTCCAGGCCAGCCTGAGCTATGTAGCAAGAACCTATCTCAAAAAAATAAAAAGCAAAAAATAGAAATAGAGCTTTTTTAAATGGGAAGGGCAACAGGAGTTGGAGCAGGGAGGGATGAGGGGGAAGGGGACAAAAATTAAGATGTGTTATATACATGTACAAACTTCCCACAATACATGTAATCATTATGTACTACAAACATGTACCGATAAAAAATAAGTAGATAGATAAATAAAATAAAGTTTATCTTCTCAGATGAGTTTTCCATGGAATGTGGGAAAAGTCATAATTAGAGCCAAAGTGAAATATCCCATCTCTAGCCTAAAATTTCTTCGAGTCAGTAAAAGCACACCTGTACAACCCTGTGAGGGCGCTGTGGGACCAAGAGGTGAGCAGCAGGAAAGAGTGTGCAGCTCACAACCTCACTCTGAAGCTGTGTGGAGGGACCTGCATTCCATGGGGGATCACGGGGCCCTTGAGCAGGACGTCTGGGGAAATAGGCATGGGAATTTGGCGGAGAACATGAAGATGGGGTGGAAAATTTGAGACCACATGTGAGACAACATTCTCCTCTCCTAAATCTTTAGAGGGAGAGAATCCTGTGGGGGAAAAGAAAAGTGAATATTTGAATCATCTGACCCCAGACTCATATTTGAAATGTAAGTTTCTATTTTAGCCCTCTCAGGACAGTGTGTTCTTTGGCACATAGTTCTTCTCTGGCAAGAAGCCAAATATCTAAGTTCACCTCTCCCCAGGGAAAGAAACCTACTGCTCAGGCCTCCAGCATTGTTTGCCATTGCCAAATCCTGAAGCCTCCTTAGGGGAGAAAAGGGGACTGGCCTGAGGAGTCTTTGCTTTTTGTGCCTTTTATTTGGAACCAGGAAGAAATGGGGCCCATAATTTAGTGCTTTCCATTTTTTGGTGGATTGAGGGGAGGAGGTTGTTGTTGTTGTTTGAGACAAAGTCTCACTATGTAGCCTAGGCCTCGAAGTCACAGCAATCCTCCTGCCTTAGCCTTCTGAGTTCTGGGATTGCAGGCGTGCACCACCATGCCCAGCTCTTCGGAATGTTTGTGTGTACATTTGTGTGCACACGAGTGTGTGCTTCAGTGTTTTCTTTTCCTGCTAAGAACGTAATAGACTCAGTCCAGGTTGATGACTTTGTGATCTCTAACATACACATATTTCCTTCTTTACCAGTGGTACAATAAACATTCTTCTCACTAAAAGTCCATGTTTCCTACGGATGGGTTCATCCCCATAAAACATATATTGACAAAGGAAAAGTAACCATTAGGCCTGTCAACTTCATATGAATAACCTGGAAGCTGAGCAAATGGAGGCTTCTGTATACTAGCATATTTTGTTCTTTTACAAAGGATCATATTTAATGTTCTGACAAGGGGCCAATCTGTTCTCAAATCAAACCCGGTCAACCTTTACCTAAAGCCTTACATCCCTGGGCCTTCTGGGCTTCTGCGTGCTCATATGTCCCATACAGTGTCAAACACCCTGGTGGCACTCAGCAAAAAACATCAAAGTCTTAACAGTAGTTAGATTTTAATTTCATTACTTTGGATTTTAACCTGCCCTCTAATTAGAGGATGAACTGAGGAAAATCTGATTACTTTTCCAATATGTCTTCATGTGGCATTCTTGATTATTGTCGTGTCGCATTTGAACAACTCATATGGGCTTCCTGAACGTGGATAACAATCATGCCTTCCAAACAAAAGCTGAAGTAATGCCCTTAAATACAAAAAAAGGAAAATTGGAGTTATGTGTGTGTGTTTGTGTGTATGTGTATGCGTGTGTGTATGTGTGTGTGTATGTGCATTGTTTGCTTTGTTTTAGTCTGTTTTTTTTACTAGAATTGGCTCCATAGGTCTCTGCTCTATCATAAGATTAGTCACACTGCATCACCCAAGCAGCCAAAGGTGTCCAAAACACACCTCGTCTGGCCTCGGTCTTGTAACAATTCTCTTTTGTTTTACGAGACCAGACACATGACCTTTCCTTCAGCCAGGAGCGAGTCGGTAAATAGATTACTTGATTGACCTAGTATGACAGTGCTGTGAGAAATGTACTTAGAATATATTTGGCAAGTTAGAAGTGGCACTGCCCATTAGGAGACTATGATGTTAATTGGGGCCGCCATCCAGGTAGGGAAGCTGCAATCATATGTTGTAAAGGCTTGCTTGGATCGCTTGGATGGAGATGGCCTTACAGAGCCATGTGGGACCTGAGAACAACTCGCAAGTCTCAGCACTTAACTCCTGTGACTGCATTTCCAAGAAAGGTAGGAGACTGGGTCCCCTCTTACTGCTTGACTGACTCCTGATGGCCTCATGGATTCAGGCAAATGAGGGAAACAAGGAAATAAGTGCACTCTGTCTCTCTTCACAGTCAACCCATCCCTGTTCAAACCAAAAGCACCATATCAAGCGGAGTGAAAGAAATACAGGTCCTTGTATTTCTCTACATCAGATATATGAAATAAATCCCACGAAGAGCCAAAGAAAGAGTACCATTAAAATGTAAAGACAAACACTGGTACCCTCTAGCAGGAATTTTAATGGCAAGTTGGGAAACAAAAGCAGCAATGAAAGGACAAATTCTTACCAAATCTTTACAGACATTTCACAGCTCCTCAGCCTCCTTCTATGAACTTAGTTAATATATTGGATTTATTATCAAAATGTACAAAATGAGATTCCATAAGTTTGAAATCTATGACCCATGAACAAACAAAGGCTGCAGCCAAAGGATTTCCTTGTGAAGAAGGGAAAAAATGCTAAGGGAGAGACACCTGCTTACCTAGAAATTCAAAGATCTTTCCCTTGTCCTGCTTTTCCTGAGATACAAGATGACTCTTCTGCTTCTAAGGAGGTCAAAACACACAAAGGAAACAAGTCCAGAGGAAGGATTATCTTGTATACAAACCTTTTTCCTGAGATTAAACTAAATAATCCGTGGGTGCAAGCTGGTGCAAGACAGCTAAACATTCATCCACCTCCTCTTCTTGTCTGTAAATGAAGACACATGTAAGTGACTTGGAGGAATTAAACCCAAGATCCCAGCAAGGCAAAGTGCAGACAATTTAAAACCCAGTACCTACAGCTGTGGAGAGATTTCTGATGGACTTACCTAAGAAACAATTATAAATGAAAGGGCTTCTCAGGTGGGGAGATTTTTTTTTTTTTCATTTTTCAGAAGACACACAGCCAGGAAGTCTTTTCACCAAAAAGTAGATAGATCTATAAAACCTTCTTTAATCACATCATTGATGGATGCAGCAGTCACATTTGCAAAATTGGAGGACAGTATATCTCCAGAATCCACTGGGATCTACGTAGTAGAGAAAAAGAAAAACTAGCTTGAGCTAAAACACACGTGGTTGATGAACTCTGCACTCTTTAAAGTTTAAATCAGGGAATGCATAGTGAATCCAAAGGCTGTCTGCTTCCAAGCTAGATGAATACGAATTCAAAATGGGGTTCCACCAACTCTAGTTTTTAGCCTCGCTGAGCCAGAGCTTCTTCAATTTTAAAAAGACAGGCATATCAGCAGCTTAAAATTATTATAGAGCCAGTGCATGAATGTGCACTGGTCAAATTATTGTATCTTGGTCCATTTTGAAGAATTGTAGGCTGAAAATAGGAAAAGTAAAATTTTCCACTTTCTATACCAGGTAGTGAATAAGGTAAACAAAGTAAAGAGAACAAAATACAGTTAAAAAGACAATACCCTTGGAGGAAAAAAAAAAAAAAAAAAACCTGAATTCAACTCCTGGCTACTTCTACTTTCATCATTCTGCTTTCCTGATTGTCTGAACCTTCGCTTTCTCATCTGAAAACTGAAAAGTTTTAACTAGATGGTTTATCTTTGGGCTTTTTCTGGCTTTGAAGTTCTTTGACATCACTGATGGTTGTTATTATTGGCAATGGCAATGTCACTGTATAGATACTTATTTACAGCCTGATACTTTGGTGTTAAAAACAGGAGCATATAACAGTAACATGAAAAGTTTCCAACAACGGACTGCTTGATGTTTGAATTCCCAATTTGTCATTTACTACCTCAAGGACCTGGAGATTTAACCTTTCTCTGTCCATAAGTCATTTACCTTTAAAATGAGGCAAGTTATTGTTATATCCTCATACATTGGTCAGGAAGACTTTGTGAGTTAATCATAGAAAAGTGAGAAAACAGTATCTGACACACCAGAAGCACTTGATAAATGATAGCTGCTCATTGTTCGTAGTGGTGTTATCTAATAAAGAAGATGCAATAATCACTAAACACAGTGGTTTTACCAGCTTTGGATTTAAAATATCATGGTTTTGTCTTTGTATAAATGAGTGTTCAATCAATTACCTTTTTATGTGCCTGTGGTGCAATCAGTCCCCATCTGATTCACTGTAAACAGCCAGAGCAATGACTATCCCTACTTCTGTATCCCAAGCAGGCAGATGCAGGGACAGTTCTGAGTGTGACACAAATCTCTATATACGGAGAGAAGACCAAACCCAGAAAAATGTACTGTTAAGCAATGTCATAATATGTGAAAAGGTCAGACAGCTACACAAGCATTTTGCTGAGACCTGAGAAAACCAAACAAAGGTTTGAGTGCAAAACACATAACAATTTCAAAGTAAAGGACACTTTGAAAACTTTAAAGAGACACTTTCTGAATACTACAAAACCTGAGAAAAATCTGCTTTAGCATATCATAACCCAGCAGCAATATTGTCTAAACTGTTAAAACCAGTGATAGGTCTAGAGCAGATTTTTATGCAAACTAATCTAATTTGTGTTGGCAACAGAAGTCCTTTATTATTATTATTATTTCTAAAATATCCTTAATGGCATTTTAATTCTTTATCTATATCTGTGAAGCTCTGACCTCACCAATCATGGTCAGCCATAGTACAATTAGATGAGGTGAACACCTGGGATAATCCCTGCCGTGGACATAGCCTCTGCCTGCAAGGGATTTACATTCCAATCCAAAAGCGATTATAACCCAGCACAAGAGGTAGTCAGGAATGACCCTGTGTGTTGCAGACACGAAAACATCAATAAGGATTCAAGGAAATGGACTCTTTGTTAATCAATAAAGACTCAAGGAAATAAGGACTCTTTGTTAATGTGTATCCAGGGCTGGCTCATCAACAGTTTCTTTCCTTTTAGTTTTTCCTAGACTCCCCCTTTAGTTCTACTTTTAAGTTTTCTCAACACATTCTTCAAATATTAGCTGGCTCTAAGTCTACGTGTAAAAGCAGTTTGTTGCTGATCTGGAGAAACCATTTCAACTTTTTCATATATTTTCTTTGGCCTTCATCACTTAGAACTTTATGTTCTTCAAATTCAATTAATTAGAATATTGTAGTTTAAAATAATGGAGGCTTTCTAAATCTCTTAATAAAATATTCTTGAAAATACAAAAGGAAATCTAAACAGAAATTCAAGAATATCCAGAAAACAACAAAAGTGAAATTATAGCATTTGAGACCCTATGGTAAGTGGCTACAAAAGAAGTGAAGGATTATAATAGCCTGAAATTCCTCTGTGAATAAAAAAGAAAGAAGAAAATGTGCAAATAAGGCATCCAAATAAGAAAATATAATATAAGCCTAACAAAAGCAGAAAGATGGAAAATGAAATTAGTGAACATAAGCAAAAATGAATGACTTGGAAAAGTAGAAAAATAATGCTAGACAACAAGTTAAAAACTGGTTTAAAATACCAAAAAAAGTAAATAATTCATTAATGACTCTAATAAAGAAAACATAGGAAAGCAAAATCATGCAAGATAAAAACTCAGAATGGTAAAATAACTCACATTCAAAGAAAATTTGAAGAATCACAATATACTTTCAAATTTCACATAATGGATAATTTTCTAGGAAAATAAGTTACAAAGGCTGTCAACAGAGTAACCTTGATGGCTGAAAGAATTAGAAAGATACTTCATTTTTCTCTCTTTAAGTGCTTCCCTCAAGCTCAGAAACGAGGGGTGGGGGGATGGACAAAAACTATGCCACTGCCTTTCTAAATCGCAGGTGCTGCTAAAGCATGCCAAGTGGCTACATCTCTCTTTCCACATCCACTTGAAGACTACAACTCCAAGAAAATTACAGAGCAAATCTAAGGTATTGAGGGAGGAAAGAGGAAAGTGATCTGATTCATCGCATTGTACCAATCAAAGTCCTTAGATGTTATGGAGATGAAAAGAATCTGGGACAAATTATATGTTTGTTTTCATATACCTCATCACTTCAGAATTATAAAAGATCTAGAAATGCCAGTTACAAAAGGACATCATACTTCTGTTCTGCCATGATACATTATTCCCATGGTGAAGGAGGTAGGCTACATGAAATTTCCCAGTTCCCACTGTCCTGAGAAGTTGCCATCAGCACTCACAAGAAAAGTTAACCAGGCCAAAGACACCCCAAATGTTATTCTGACAAACATCAGGGTGTCAATCTCATAAATCCTCTGGACTCAAAATGTATGGATCCTTCACAAGGATTAGGGTTGAAAGATAAAAATCAAAATTCTCTTTGCTAAGCAAGCAAAGTCAAAGCAAAGTCTACTCTGACCTTTAGAAACTCAAAATGCCCATATATCTTACAAAATGTCTTTACTGACGAGTTATTAAAATAGAGATAATAACAAACAACTTTTATTTTGGTGTCGGGAAAGATCCCACTCCTTCTTCCATCACATATTTTTCCAGGTTAAATAACTGTGTATGTCCAACCTCTGAACTTGGGCCCTCAACCAGTCCTGAACTGAAACCTCTAAAACCATGAGCCAAAAATAAAATTCTTCTCTGTAGGGCCGAGGATTTAGCTCAGTGGTTTCGCCGCCTTCTGCGCAAGCACAAGGACCCGAGTTCAATCCCCGGTAGCAAAAAAAAAAAAAAAAAAATTCTTCTCTGTTAGACTGTGGGTGTTGGGTAGTTTGTCCTAGTGATAGGAAAACTAGTACAGTTTTCGAATGTTTGCGTTTCTTCAAAATTCATGTCTTGAAACCCAATCTCAATGTGATAGCATTAGAAAGTACAACTTTGCGAGGTGATTAGGCCATGGGATTGGAATCTGCCTAAATCAGACTAGCGCTTTATAAAAAATACCCTTCTACTACATGAGGACACAATGAGATGGTATCATCTATCACTTAGGAAATGGGCCCTCTCCAGACACAGAATCTGCCAGAATATCAACCTTGGACTTCCAGCAGCATTGCAGGAAAAGATTTCTATTGTGTATAAATTACCCAATCTATAGTATTTCATTATAGTAACCCAAATAGACTAAGACATGCTCCTTCTTGATTTCTGTCTATAGCAAACTGATATATCCAAAACAAAAGCAGTTTCAAGTACCAAGCTTTTTCAAAACAACTGGTAGCTACAGGTATGTCTTAATGTAGATATATTGTGCTGAAGATTTTATACTTTTCCCAATATATTGCCTCTTTTCCCTTCTTCACTTTAATCTCTACCCTAGGAGATCATCTGTATGAACTACATCAACTGTTCCATACCTTCTGAATCTTGCCTAAACTGAACCAAAATAGAGCACTTGTTGGAGACTGAAAGGAAAAGAGTGATAGCCTGCTCCCAGCAAGGTCACTGAGATAAGGTTGTATTCATCCACCAAGGAGGCTGACAACACACAATTCACCACCTAATCCCTTTGGGATCTCAGCACGGCAACAGTTCAGTTACTGCCAAGACACTGAGTTATCGCACCATCTCTTATCTATATCACTGCCAACAATCCCTTTGTAACACTCCTCCGATTATTTATGTCAAGGATGAAGTCTGTTTTCCATGGAAGTAGAACAAAGTCACAGTCTTGACTGGGGAGTTTCTAAAACCATTTTGATGGACAAATTTTGTCCATCAAAATACAAGTAGCCACAGCCTTTCCAAAGTAAGGTGAAGGGGGCCAGGGATTTAGCTCAGTAGTTCCAGCACCTGCCTCACAAGCACGAGGTCCCAAGTTTGATCCCCAGTACCAAAAAATAAAAAATAAAAAATAAAAAACAAAGTACAGTGAAGACAGACAGCATTTACTCCCACATCAAAACCCAACAAATTTTCTCTAAAGAAATTGAACAGATGAGAATAACAAATATTTATAACATGTTTTCTGGTGTCCCTAAAAAAGACCTTCTTATTGTAATATTTGTGGACTCACAACCTGTGAATTGGTTCCCCCTGGCTCATTATAAAGTAAATACTGACATCCTTTCCCCTGTCCCATCCTCCCCATACAAAATTACCCTTAAAATTCCTACTCAGAGACACCTTAAGGGAAATAATCTTACCTGTATGACAGCAAAAGAAATCCACACCAGTAGCCAAACCTACTTTCTCAGATATGAAGAGATAACCACTGATAACCAGAAACAGGAGGCTTCCAAGTAGAACAAAGAAGAAATAGAAAAACAGATCTCAAAATAAGGCAATGGAAAAAAAATAAAAAGATTGCTTTAAAAATCTAATTAATGTGGGCCGGGGATTTAGCTCAGTGGCACCACACCTGCCTTACAAGCATAATGTCCTGAGTTCGATCCCCAGTACTGGAAAAAAAAAATCTAATTAATGTACCTAGAACAAGTAAATAAATTTATTGCATCCATAAAACCAAGTCACAGTGGTAATAAATGGAATATTTAGTGAAAACTGGAAATGAAAATACTAGAAATTTAAAAATCACTCCTGAAATAAAATACTTAGAAGAAGTATAAAATAGAGTCAATGAAATATCCTAGAATTAAAGCAAAGGAGCAAAGGTATGAAAAAAGAAAAGAAATTCACCAACATATACTTAATAAAAGTTCCAAAAACCAAAGAAAAACTAAAAAATCAAAGAAATAATACAAAAAAATTTCCCAGAGATAAAAAACAAGTTTAAAGTACACACAAAATTCCTAGCATGATAACTTTAAAAATGAGAAAGAAAAAAATCCTAAACTTAAACACATTGTTATACAATGTCAAAACCTTGAGTATAACAAAAACTTCTTCAAAGCTTCCAGAGAGAAAGGCAAATTACCTGCAAAGGGCAAAGAAGATACTATAAGTAAATGGACCACTGCTTTCTGAGTTCTCAGGGTACATAATTTTCAACACAATTCTATACCCATTGAAACTATCAATTAACTCTTAGGATAAAGATATTTTAGCATGTAAAAGCTCAAAAAGCATATCTTTTAAAAGTACAATTTCAATCAAAATGCTAGTTTGAATTTTTATGGGGTACATGGTAAATATAACATTCATAATAAAGAATAAATGTTCAAAAGCAAATTTATTCATAAGAAGAGACATGGTAGGGGTCAGGAGATTTCTCTATCAGCTATTGAGGAATACTATGAAAATACAGTAATCCAAATTGTGTTGTTTTAGCAAAAAAAGAAGATTAACAGACTAATTAAACAGAAAAAGAAAGCATATACATGTCCATTGGTTAAATAAATGGTGTTATGAAAACTCCTGGCTTTAAAGAAAACAACTGTTGATCCCTACTTCAAACCTCACAAAGGTAATCTCCAGATAAATTAAAGACTTAAAAATGAAAGGAAAAGCCATAAACTTTCATGAAAGAACTATGAGAGATATCTTCATAGCCTAGAAGCTAGAAATGAATTTAGGAATTTTATTTAAAACCCCCCAAAACACAAACTATAGACCTAAAATATGTTCATAATTTGCTTACATAAAAATTTTGACTTTAGTTTAAGCTCATATGACATATGAAATATTGAGATAATATATTGTATATGTATGTCTAACCCCATCACTACTTAGAATACTTGAAGGTCTTCTGAAAAATGAAAAACACAATAGCTTTAGTAGAAAATAGACAAAAAATAAAAATAGAAATTTTTCAAAAGAGTAAACCCAATAGACTGGCAAATATATGAGGAAGCAGTTTTTAAATAATTAGCACATAAAGAAACTCAAAGTAAGACATTAAAGAGTTATTTATTTTATATCTATTACACTGGCAAAAATTACAAAGTTAGTGGGAGAACAGATTAAGGTAGACACTCTGAAGAACATTCTGGTAAGCAAAATGATCATATGCATGACCCAACAATTCCACTACTGCATCTATATGCCAAAATAATTCCTATGCAGATATATCAGTCACTTTCCCATCACTGAAACAAAATACTCAAACCTGCAATTTAAAGAAGAGATTTATTTTGGCTCAAGGTTTTCAGCGGAATCAGTCCATGGTTGTTTAGCTCCAGGGAAGAAAGTACAGTGGAAAGGCATGGCAGATAACAGCTATTCACCTCAGGGCAGCCAGGAAGCAGAGCAAGAAGGAAGGAGCTGGGAAGAGTACACCCTTCTAGATCACACCTTCAGTGACTCATTTCCACTCATTTTCCCACTTCCTAACAGCACATTCAGCTACTGAATGCATCAGTGCTATACTCATCAGCATAGCATCCCTGTGGTCCAATCACCTTTCAAACACAGGTGACCAAACTCAGGAGACATTTTTAAATCTAAAGTATAACAGGACCTTATGGAATACATACAAGCTTTAAAGCTTTTTTTTGTAAAATGGGGAACTGGAGGCAGTCTGAGCATCCATAACTGAGAGAAAGGTTTTGGTAAATGAAGCAAGGATACAGCATGGGCTACCACCACATCACTTAGACACCATGAATTAGGTGTACATCTAGAGACATGGATTGATATAACAAATATCATGCTTAGAGATGGAAAAAACATGAGAAACTACATGAACAAACAAAGGAATAGCAGGCAAAACAGAAAATAAGAACTGCTCAAGTGTTAATTTTGTTATTACTCTAAAAAGACTTTTAAAATATATTTTCCTAATTATATCCCACAATGATCTACTGTACATCTATTCATTCACTGTACATAAATCTTCATTTTTCATATTTTTTTAAAAACCAGGCTTCTTCTCCCCCAAGAACTTTGCCTCTTGAAGACAACAGTGCCCCCTTGGAAAAGCATGTGCTACAACAATATAGAGAAAAATATTACTACAAAGACGTTCCTGGAGCCTAGAAGCCAGGGCCACCTGGATGGTGCTAGAAGTACAATGGAGATGTATTTACTGTCAAAGTAACTACCTAAGACAAAAGTAAAGTGCAGAGAATACACTAACCTCTCCCTTCCTCCTATCCCTGAAACTCAGACCAGTACCTCCCATTGGCCTGGCATCTGTGGAAAATGCAGTTTGAGGGGTGTCATCACCTGAAGTGTGAAACAAGAGAGCGACAAAACTGTAGGAAATGGATCTGAATGGAAACAGGCAAATGATCACCCAAGTATACACGCCATTCACTTAAATTCAAAAAAAGAAAAATGTATGCGAACTAAAATATATACACTCCTTAGGAATACATAATGCAAAAGGAGCATGTGAAATGGCCTGAGTGAAAGAGAAAAATAGGATGGGAGCAGAGAATAATGATTAAAGGGAGTTTGAAAAAAGAAAAAAAGATAACTTTGGGGAGAATTTTCTTAAGGAGCTACTTCAGTAGAACAAAAGTGTAAATAAAGAAAAAGGTTGATATAGGAACCAGGAGACAGTGGTATAACCTAGGAGTGCCCTAATGAGAGATGGTAGGATGACAGCTGTGCACCAAACCAGTCTGAATTAGAGTAGGAGAAGAAAAGGTTGCAGGAGAAGCAAAAGGACTTTGCCTCTATGGAGTGAGACCACAGTTGGGTGGGAGGGAAGAGAACTGAGAACTTCTTTTCATGATAAAATAATCTATTATAGTTCATTTGTTACATGCATGCAATTATTTCACACACAAAAATAAAAATTTTAAAAATCAATGCAGTTCAATTTTGCTTAATAAACATTTATTAGATGTCTACCCCTGACAAAGAAGAGCAAAGGTTCAGACCCTTCATATTGGTGTAAAGGGTCCCGCATGATCTGACCCTGAAGTACCTGTCTAGCATTAGCTCTCTTCTCCAGCCAGTCTAAGTACATCAAAATCTCCAAACTTATCATGTAGTTTCTCCTTCTGCCTGCCTTTGGACAGGCTTCTCCATGTGCCTCAAATCTGCCAGGATCCTACCAAGGTCTTCCTGCCAACACTAAGATCCTGGATAGCATTTCCTCTCTTCTGAGGTCTTCACATCCCAAGGAAAGATGATTCCACCTATCTGTTACAAGACTCACCACACAGCTTGTCATTACTTACTTGCTTATTTTTCCTTCTAAATGTTGAATTTGTTCACCTTTGTACCTACAGTAGCAATTATACTGCCCAACACATATTGAACATTCAATAAATGTTTATGTAGTGAATACTTTCATAAGTGAGTGCATTAAAAAACCCCTTAGATAAGTTAATTAAATCTGTTGCATTTTATACCAGTTTTGCGTTACATATATATCACTATGCATGAATAGTCCCCAAGCAAAAATTTCATGGGATATATTAATTTATAATATTCATCTGCATTCATTTATAACTCCCTTTGCCAAAAGAAATAATTTGACATAGACTGAACTATATAAATAAACTTTGTACTCGTATCCATTTTCGTAGCAAGTTTTTGTTATCTTAATGTTTTCAAGTTAAAATCTTTCTTATTTTCCTTTTCAATAAAATCCCGTATTTCTAAGGTTTGATTTTTAAAAAAAAGACTAGCATAATTTCTTTCGTGCTAATTCTTTTAGGACAAAGGTCTGAATGGGGCCAGAATATTGAAAAACTCAGTGACTGTTCTGCCTGGGCAAGGGAAGGCCACCTTGCTTTCTGGACTCTTAATTTTCTCTCCGAGTGGCACATTTTTCTCACAGCACTGAGCGGCTGGAAGGATGACTTCAGGAGGGGAATGGGGAACAGATGTCATTCATTGACTCTGGGTAATGAGATTTCATATTCCGTCAAAATCCTGAATAGGACAGGAGAGGCCTCATTAGTGGATCCATGACTGAACAGGTGTAGAGATCCCATGCGCACAGCAGGTAGAAAGAGGCCATTTCAATTCCATGTGTGGAGGTATCTAGGAAATTGGAAAGAGAGAAAAAGTGCTCTACCACAACTGCCACCTCAGGAAAACTGCAGTTTAGAAGCCAAAACAATATTAATTCAGACCACTGGTACAGACCTCATCCAGGGGCCAGCAAAGTGGCTGAAGGCGGGAGACAGGTGATATGCAGCCCTAATGATACCATGCAAAGGGGGTCACCTCCTTAGTTCTTTAGTTCCATATGGCATGTCATAAAATTTTAGTGCTCTTTCACCAATGAAGTAATAACCCTCTTAAGGCCACAAGTCAAAAATAGGTCTGTAGGGTGGAATGAAACCCTGTCTCCAAAACTAATGGCAGAAAGCTCTTTAGAAGATGGGCTACATTGGAAGCAGTATATGAATAAAATGTTCCAGAGTGCAGATAAGCCTGGCCAGCAATCTGGCAGCTGTCTGTTGAACGAGTGTCCTTCTCTAGAGGTAGCAATCA